TATGGAACTTGTAGCTTCATTCTCCATGTTTTCTCAACTGACTCTATCTGTTCGAAAAATCCTGAGGAAACATGGAGAATGAAGCTACAAGTTCCATATAGCTCCAACTCTATCCCCTAGAATTTATACTCGGCGAATAGAATCCCCTGATTGTGTGCAGTTCAGACGAGAATGAACAAACGTAGCTCATACCCATCAGTAAGATGAATACGTTATTCGTGAAACCGGGGGAGACTCGCTAGCGTAGGTTGCGTTAGGCTTGCTGCATGGGGATATCGGGATCATTGTGGTCAATGGTTAGAGGCACCGAGTGAGTGCTGGTGAATCTTATCAATTTCGTTGCAGGCCTAGTCTTCATCAATTCTCTATTTTCACTTCAACACTGATTTGAACATTCCACTCTTCCTTTAATCCTCCATCTTAATAGACAATCATGAGAAAACAACCAAAACCGGCGTACGAAATCGCATGGTTAACGGGGGTAAAAACTGAACTGAACTAAATGTGAGCCTGACTGAAACGGCAATCAAGGTGCACGTCTAAAAAAGTGAAACATACGTGGGTTGTTTAGAGCACGGAGAACGACTGATCGGTCTTTTAACAGACGAACTCAACCGGATAGGAGATCGCATTATTTAACGGGTTTTATTGTTTATCAAGCTAATGAGAGTCGAAAGGGAGAACTACCGCATTCACGGTCTAATTAATGTGTCACGCACGTTCGGAATGTGATCGACCAAGACATAACCCTAGTTGATAAATGTTTGCAAGGATGGGTTGTGCAACATCGTGTGTGGATGAAATGAAAAAAAAAAACAGTATGATCCGCTATCCGATAGACAAATGGGTAGTATACTTACGTTCCATGTGTAGGGGGTCCTGGGTTCGGTCCCCTCGGTTTGGTAAATGGATGAGACCCAACAGGGTCGACACAGCTAGCTATCCACTGCTTCCTAGCTAGCTCTGCAGTTCAAGTTTTACGCAATCAAATACAATACTCCACTAGTGTCATGCAATGTCATGACAATGCGTTCACTGTGAACAATTGTGTTGCGTTCGTTTTGTCTTGCTTATATACCATGGCGTGCATTATCATACTGTCGGACACTGATTCATATTGGCCACGGAGCCCGGGGGAGGGGGAAGAATTAATCCCCCTCAGAGATGAGCAAAATATCAGATTTGCTGCGCGAGCGACGATACAGAAACTGGTGAAAACCGCGATTTGTATGAGCGATAAGAGATATCATATGAGTGGAGCTCTTTCTCAAACCACCGTTCATTTCATCGCTAGGGTAAGAGACGCCACTCATCCGGGGACATATATTCATAAAGTTCCATTAATTATACTTGAAATAAGATCAATGGAAAGCACTCTGTCCCGTTTATTATTATTACGTGTGTGTATGTCAACGACCTAATAGAACCGCTTATGGTTCCTTTGTGGTTTCCTTTTAACCGCATGGCAACCGAGTACGAGGCATCGCGGGCGAAGTGTCAACTCACATACAGAAACCTCGGTTGGCATTTGCTAACTTGAAATATCTGTGTCGCGACATCCGGCTGGCCGCGAAGGGTCGAACGTATGCCGCGGCAGTTCGGCCAGTTCTGCTATACGGCGCAGAAACTTGGTCATTAAGAAAACAGGATAAAGTGGTCCACCATCATAGATTACGTTGTTTGAGGCATGTGTTACGCATGTCACCAGATAGTTTGGCACGGCGAGCGTTGTTTACCGAGACAGGTAGTGGGTGGAAGAAAGCCAAGAGTGATCAAGCCAAGACCTCACACGAGGGTATGGAAACTCTAATCAGGGTACTGGGTTATGTAGATCCTGTTAGGCTCCCTGAATGGGGGTCTCGGGATAATCGTAAGTGATGGTTAGAGACACTGAGTGATATGGTTCAGTATCGTAAACAGTGGCGTTCTTGCACCTTGTCAATTTTTGTGCAACCTTAGGCCACTGAAATTCTTCATTTTCTACTCGGCTCTACTTTCAACCTTCCTGACTTTCATCTAATGTTCATCCAAATGGGCATCGAAAAGACAGCAACCAAAACCCGCGCACGACAGTGCATGGTTAATGGTTGTACAAACTGAAGCTGAAACTGACACAAGTGTGAAAAATAACTGGGAGTTACGGCACAAGGTCAGTCGTGATTTGCTTTTGATTCCATCAGGCACTGAACTGAGGTGTGAACTCCGGAACGACTTGGTCATCCCATTCAGGGCCTCAAACAGATGATGGTAAGAGAACAGGGAGAGTTCAGAATACAAAGTCCCATATTCGCAGACAACATCAACCATTTTAAGAAACCCAAGTTAAATAAATTGCTTACCAAGTTTGACGGGGCAAATAAACAATTCATATTCTCAAGAATGAGAAAGCACTCACCTCGACGTGTACATGTATCACGATTGGGCGATTGTTCAACACCAGTTTTCTGTTCCGGGATGGGAACAGAAAGATCTAAGAAGAATTCGAAGTTTGTACGCACATCGTGACATGTGCCGCATTTCAGCGAGCTCACAATGATACCACCAAACAATCGATCCACACGCGTGGCAAACGATGCTGCTCTGCCCCATGCACGAATTAGCTGACGCTGTTCCTCTGAAGCATTCTAAGCGATATGGAAAACAAAATATTTTTTTCAAAAACCTAACTACTGCAAGTGAGTGTTATGAACAGACAGCATAACAGGTTTGCTCACACTTTACTGTCCAATCAAACATTGGGTGATGGAAGGTTACACGTGAAGATAAGTCCTATGCAAACGAAGGGACAACATAGGGTGGTGGCGGCGCAGTGGTTTAGTCGCTGTCACCGATGTCCTTTGGGTCCGATGGTCCGTGGTTCGATCCCCGCCACCGCAACCCAACTTTGGTGGTAGGCAGCTTTGCTGTAGTCCTGACCAAGCGGGGCCTTATGTGGTTCGCCGCTCCAAGTCCTGGGGATCAGGTTACCGGTTTTCATCATCGAACAGCAGGTCTTCGTGATTATGGGGTCTGTCCCATCTGTTGTTCATTAAACACCGGTTTGCAATAAAAAAAAACATCGTTGTGACGCAGCGAGAACTGGTTTGCACACAAGCGGGCGCATTGCTTACATTGTCAGATACTTGATCCCAAGTAGGGTTTTAAAATTAAGCTAAGAAAAACGATAGAGAAACTGAGATGAGCAATCCACACAAGCACACACAACACCGTTTATCCTTGTTTTATTCATGGAGTATCTTGTTCCATCCTTAAAGAATTCAATTTATTTCGATAGACAGGTGAACGGAAGTAGTGAATGTCCAAGAGATGGTAGGCTACTGAAAGCCTTCTACCGGTGGAGCTGTAGACTATCGGGCGAGTCCCCACACCAGTCTTTGATGAACAACAGGCAGGGCGGACTCGATAGTCACGAAAACCTGTTATTTAGTGATGGAAACCGGTAACCTAAGCCTCGGAACTTGCAGTGGCGAAACATAAGGCTCCGCTAGGTCAGGCATGGTATACTTACTTTACTTTACTGCCTCCGGCTCTTTGGAAAGGATAAACCGGCTCCAGACATGATCACTATTATGAAGTTCCTTGGGAGTTTGGTACGAGAGGCGTCCCCAGCGTCACTCGGCGCATTTTATTTTGAGGGCGCACCTCTAGCCTTTGCACAACCAAGGGCAAACTGCAAGGCAGCAGGAAGGAATCCCTCGCCTNNNNAGTGAGGGGGGTCAGTGACTTTAGTTTTAAAAGGCCAGCTGTATCGACCTATGTCACGACACCTTCATTAGGCTGATGCGGTTTTTATACAGGAGCCAGGTGACCAACCTGAAACTCACCACACCCCGGTAGTGCCGCGGCTGTTTGTTCGCGACTGCTTATTTCTTGCGGTACGCCACAACTTATTCACAGCTAACCTTCTGTGAAGCTATCCCCCTATCCACAACCCGGGGATGTGGCTGGNGTGGCTGGTAGCATTTAGCTTTGCCTTACCCGAGGGTATCCAGACTTGGTATAGAACCGAACGACAACAAAGCTGCCTACCAACAAAGTATGGTGGCTGTGGCGAGGCTCGAACCTCAAACCACAGTGTCCAAAGCATGCCGGTGACAGCGACTAAATCACTGCGCCACCAACACCCCACATAGTGGATAAGAGAACAGTAACCTAGGTAATTAACCGAAAATGAGTGAATATTACTTGACTGAATAAGCGGCAATGTCCGAGAACGTGGTGGGTACCCGCCTGGTAAGTTAGTTCTCTACAGCCGCAAATATCCGCAGGAAGTAACGTGACGTGTGCGAAATTGAAGCGCAATCAAATGAGGCCGTCTCAATTGTCCAGCTGCCCCGCAGCGGGCACTTGACCGTGCAGGAGCCAGAGGAACATCCTCGCACAAAACGTTTGTGCCATACTGGGGATGAAACTTGCACCGGACAACCCCATGAAGCCGATTAACCCACATATGAGGGGAACTTGGTCAGGAGGAAATAAGTATTCTGTGCGTTGTTCACATCTGTTCGACTTACGCATTCTTCGTTCGGTGTGCCCGTTCTATAGCCCTCGAACATATACGTGCTTACGCTGTTAGTTTCGTGAACCCGGCAGTTATTTGCAAAGTTTCTTGACTACTTTCCTCCGGAAAATAAAGATCGCTCAAATGTAACTATGATGATTGCAGGGGACAGGCACAGGATAAGGGTTTCATTACAAAATACTTTATAAACTTAACAGACATTTCTAGGTTACATGAGAATAATGGATGATTTGATTGAATTTCAAAGGGGAAATTCGTCGTGTATATAGCAAATGAAGCGTGAACTGAAAAGCTAGGAAGCAATGGACAGCTATCTCGACCGGATCTCATCAGCAGTGCGAATCCATCGACCCAACTGAGAATCGAATCCAAAGACCAGTGAATCAAATCCTCCAGTATTCTCAAGTAACAAGCATTCAGGTTGTGAAAGTTTCCAATCGAGCCATAACCGCAGAGGCTAGTGCTGAAATGAGCGAGGCGCGAAGCCCGCCAGAAGCTCGCAAAGATGGGTTGTGCTATATGGTGTAAATAGAAAATGAAAAACGACCTGATCAGCTGCCCGGTGACCGAGTGGGTAGCACGAATGCGTTCTGCCTGTGAGATCCCGGGTTCGCGATCCCCAGTTAGGGGTCGATGGATTCGTGCACCGCTGATGAGATCCAATCAAGTCGAAACAGATGTACGGTGAGTGCTTCCTAGCTTTCCCGTTCACGCTTTATTCACTCTATACATGAGGAATCCCCCCTTACGAAATTTTTAGGTTAAACTAATATATATGCAGTACTGTGACAGTTTTGTACTGAAGTGATGAACATTGTGAGCAGGTAACTAATTCGGTAGAGTACAATTAATCCTTGTAAAAATAAGGTGTTAGGCTGATACGACCCCTACAATTCGACTAAAAAGTTCATACTGAGCGCTCCCCCCCCCCTACGCACGCTCGAACATGAACAGATAATTCACACGAACACTGTGTTACTCTTCCTGTTACCTCGTGGAATTGAAATTTGTCCAAAATGCCTTTGCGCCAAATCATTAGCTCTTCCTGTCGTAAACAATCCAAAAGAGCCCGGAGAAATTCGTGACAATCATGCTGACCGAACCCGCTGAAACGCGGGTGTTTTCCTATGACCAATTTTCGCAGTGTCTAAATCAAATCACTTAGACAAACTTCACAACCCTTACCCCGGGACTGATTGCACTGGCTCCCGTATCGTTCGATTTATGTCGTACACGGAGAACCAGATCGGTAAGCTGTGCGGTTGCAATGAGTTCTTTGGGGATCAGATCAATCTGGAGACTGGTTACACCACTCTAGAACAAAATTTTGATCACAAACTGAAAGATTTACCCCATCCGGACGTTTCAAAGTGGCTTTATTGCATAGTGGGAGGCTCATCAGTTCGAGGAGATGGGGACTTCTGGAAAGGCACTGAATGGTTGAATTCAAATAGCACGTATTTCCCAGATTGTGGAGACCCTGAACATTATCAGAATTAGAACATCCTCACTCTTATAGGAAAGCGATTCGGGAGGTTTTTCTGAACAATTGTTCTTCCATCTTTCTTTTCCTGATGCTTTCCTCGTTCTGGAGAAGTTAAAGATACCAAAACAAAACGACAACCTTGCAAGTTTTCGACAAACTTCCGTCGATTGCGTTTTACCATCTCAAAATATTACACACCTAGGCTAAAATGAAAAGTGAATTATAGAATAAAAAGCAGCCCGGATGGTCTTATTTGGTTCACAGAAATCAGAGGAACTTGCCAGTTCAAAGATGTAGTACTGGCCTGTAAAAATCATAAATTTTCAGAAGGCAGAAATTCTACTGAAAAAAGTGACGTCAAAAATTCGTTCATTCAAATTCTCAACTCAGCTTTACGCTTAAACCGATTTTGGTTCAACAGTAGCCTTTTTACATAACTCCTCATAAAAGAAAACTATCTGGAAACATAATTTTGTTTTCATTTTCATTTATACTTTGCTTCGTTGAATATACAATGATACAACTTTTCAGGAACGGAGGGAAGCGACCAATCAAAGGGCTGCCCTACAACACGGAATGAGGAAAGCCAGGCGGTGGTGGTGGGATTCGAACAAACGTCCTCCGGGGTGTCAGTTTGTTGATCTTTAACACCCGGTTGTTACACAGCAACCAACGAAACCGATGATGTACGGAACTGTACGGCACCTTGCAATCAATTGTGTAACAAGACAGAACATATATCTGGTGGTGGGCAGCCTTGCTTTCGTCCGGTCCAATACCGCACCTAACTTATCGGGGCCTTATGTGGTTCGCCAGTCCAGGGGATTAAGTTACCGGCTTCCATCACTGAACAAAAGGTCCTCGTGACTATGGGGCCTTCCCCGTTTGCTGTTTATCACATGAAAGTGTAATACAAAAAATTCCTTGTAACAGAATACTGGAACTGGAAGACTGGCTTCTTTGATGAATCTACTTATTATGTCGTAGGAAAATTTGGACTTGGCAAGATGTGCGGGAGTGATTGCCGGCTGCTGATGCTGGAATGAGCCGACAGATTATTTTTCAACGACTCAAGAAGCACCTAGTGGAATGGTACACAAATGGTGGCCGTACAACATACCAAACTGAACACATATGTTCGACTCAGTTGGGTTTCATCTGTGGAAGACTGACAAGCGTTCTGTGGTGCAATGACGGAAAATATGAACAGCAAATATCTCGCCCTCGTGAGTTCCCTTTTTAAGTTCCACCTACCTACGCGCCTCAGGATGTTTCCGCGCAACAACACAAATTCTGCCGCTCTGGGAATATCGGAAAAAACGCGAGGCATCGTCGAACAGCGTTGCGACTCAACTGTAGGAAAATGTGGTTAACATATAAACGGATAAAGACACGGTAGGAACAAGGAAGCATATCAAAAGGGTGATTAGAGAAGCTGCTAGGACGAAGCTGGGAGAAACCGCATGATGGCTGAAAGACTAGATTTCCGAAGAAATTATTGAACTATCAACTGAAGCAGAAGCCCATCGACTGGGAAGCTCCGAACACTGAACGAGCAGTCTTGTTCTGCAACAGCTGGTTGTAAGAGGTATTGCATAATTGGCTGAGAAAATAAAGATTACATCAGGAAATGATCAATTCATAAAACTCGATCGACTCATCCCAACACTTCAAATGAACATTACAAGTCCGAATACGTAATCGACGGAGTCATCGACTTCCACAGATTACGCTGTTTGGGACATGTAATGCGCATGTAACCAAACAGGCTGTCACGGCGCGAGCTGTTTGCCAAGGAGGGTGATGAATGGAAAAGGTTGTGTGACCAAACTATGAGGGTATGAAAATTGTAACCGAGAGACTTGCTTCTACAGGTCATGTCAGCCTCTCTGGATTTGGAACTCGAAATCATTGTAATCAATGGCTAGAAAGCCTCCGAAAGCCTCAGTATGGTCGAGGATGGATTGTGTGATTATATACGAAACAAATGATTCGATCAATCATCAAATATAGAACGTAGGTCAGTGACAAAATTATTTAACGCAGAGTATATAGACTAAGCTATTTGTCACTATAGAAAATTGGTTTCTCTAGTATACAAATATAGTTAAAATTATCCGGGACGACTTGTGATAGTATATTTAAGGCCAGAAATTTCTTTTCGGCATTTATGCAAGCTGGGATAGTGGCATCAATTTGCTCCCAGAAGGAAGACTGTCTGATCTGGAGTATCCATCATGACGAGACTGCAACTAGACCTGGTGCNCCTGGTGCAATGAATTGCTTGCCTCTATGACCCTGCAAGCTACACAGAGTATCTTTTCACAACCGTAGATCCAATCACTTCTGAAAGGTCAACGGGTAGAGATCAGACAAAGCTTAGTCTCAAAAAGCCAGCTGCTCGGGCAACTCCTGACTTCCTTCTTCTATTCACACCGGCTCCGGAAGAGGTCACTCCAGCAAATAAACAAGGTGAAGGGCAGTTTACCAACCAAAAACCTCCGCTAGATGAACATAAGAGCGGGGCACCTGGTGCTTCCACTCGACGGTGGGAGAAGTCTTCGTACTTCATTGGACAGCTACCGCCAGCTAACGCTGGGCAGTCCCCAGTCAACAAGGTGCTGCGAACAACACGCAACCGAAACCCGGAGGCCTTGTGTGACAGGTCTCCAGAAGCTCCCACACGGGTGCTTCGTTCACGCTCCTGCATTGGGTTTACGCCCCACTGCCTTCCGGGTCAGGCTTTTGAGTCTAAGTCTTCGGTTAGGGTTCCCAAAGAAAAAAACCCTCGTCGGTTCGGGCTGTCGCGAAATATGCCGTTCCCCAAAGTCTTAGGCACCCATTTGAAAAAACCTCCTTTCCATCTGTCTAGTTCTTCCTATCAATCCCGAAAAATCCCAAACGCCTGCTGTTTACTAGACCCATCGGAAATCACTCAGCATTTGACTAGTAAGTTCAAAGAATCAGAAGTTACAGGATTTCTGAAGCCCAAATTCCCTTCCGATTTAGCCGCGTTCAATGTCCGCACGCTCTATCGGATGCCACATATGACAACGCGCAAGTCCCTTAAACGCCAGCTCATCAAGAGTCTGGGGAATGACCGCGAGAAATGGTGGGTCGAAAAGTGTAGAGATGTTTAAAGCTGCAGCTATTGGTAATAGTCGCAGCCTTTTCCGCATAATTAGGAATACGGGCCAAGGGAAAATAGGCGTGAAACAATTAAGGAATTCGTCGATACACTGATCCATTATCAGCAACGCCGCCTTGATTGATGGACTGAACATTTCAAGGCCTCTGGCCCAGATGGGTTGTTCCTATCGGCGTTTAAGTATGGAGGCTCAGCGATAGTCGTGGTGTTGACGAAACTCCTGGGCTCAATATGGAAAAGGGAGGAGGCTCCAACTGAATGGTGTGAATCGGTCATCATGCCGATTTACAAGAAAGGTGACAGATCCTCCTGTGAAAACCACGGGAATTAGTTTAATCAACATCATTTCTAAACTTCTTGCTGGTATTATGCTCCGTCGATTGTTTGCCGCACGTGAAGAGTGCACGTGTGAGAACCAGGCTGGTTTAGACCTGGTTGATATTTGAATCGACCGCATCTTCACTCTGCCAAATTCTGAAGCATTGACATTCTTTTAGTAGACCCACCATCTGTTTACCTCGATTTGAAAGCGGCTCTCGACTTAGTCAATCGCTCAAAACTCTAGCGCTGCCTTTCCATGAAAAGTGTGCCCGAGAAATTCATTTCAATACTACGATCACTTTATACTAATAGCCGTAGTGGAGTTCGTCAGGGTTGCCCTCTCTCTCCTTTTCTATTAAACTTTGTTATAAATTTGATTATGGAAACAGCCCTATCCTT